TGGCGGCCATATTGGATTTCTGATCGACCCGAAAAATAACAACACTTTGTCAGGACCATGAGGCGATCATTCCTACCAACTTTCAGTTTAATCGGCCCAGGAGAACTTGACTTTAAGTTTGAAATGTGAAATGTTAACGGACGACGGACGACGGACGACGGACGACGGACGACGACGGACGAAAACGGATAGCAATAGGTCACTTGAGCTAAAGCTCAGGTGACCTAAAAAGCCGCCATTTTGACTCCAGTGCAGAAGTCTATGACGTCATATACGTGTCCTAGGCGTGACGTCACAATTGAAACAATTGAAACTTTCAACCAATCACATGGCTGATAGGTCATATTACCTGGGTTAATTAATACGCAAAAAAATATGACATGGGTAAATTCACTGGATAACACGGTACATTATGTGATAAAACGTTGGTCTTGTTATGTTGTTTGTCACGTCGTAACCACACAGATACTTTATTATCAATAAATTTAAAAACAGGAAAAATACAAGGATGAATTTAGCCTAGTGACTTACAGTATGAAACACTGATTCAGGAGATCTAATGATTTTAAAGAATTTTAAAAATGTTGTTTAAATATATATATAGGTATATTTCTTGTATTACATATCTATATACATGTATATAGAGGATTTTTAATGGTTTCTTGCCTTATACCATATATATTTCATGAGTATGACAGAATATTGATACTTTTAAAAAATGCGAAGCACGAATGAAAATAAAGGTATATTCTGCCGTACAAGTGAAATATATATGGTTATATATCAACAGGAATTAATTTATGTTCTATCAATTCGTTTTTAAAGTAATACGGTGCAACTATTGCTGCATCATATAAATGTGGCAATTAGTAGAGTAATATTGATGCCAGGTTCCAATGACGTCACGCTTCACAATAAGGTAGAGAATACTGCCATTTTGAATTACTTATTCTATGCAATTCTGCCTTTTGCAGTAAGCTATCACCTGACAAGTTTTTTCAAAAAAAATGATAACAGTTGTGAGTTATATAAATACCCTAATGTATGTCGCAAAGACATACCAAAACAACCACTAAGTGTAACCTTGATTAATTTTAACTTGAAACTGAATATCTACACAGTGAATAGAAAGTACCGTTGTGACTGGATACTACTAAACATGCTATCTTTACCTGTGAATTAAGATACGTTTTTGTACAAAATTTTGTATATCTCCACTTGGATATTTCCTGTGTTTCACTTGGTAAAAATGTAATAAAAAAAAAAATATGAAAACAATGATCACTCTTTGCGGTAACTTTCAATCTAAAAGTATTATACAGGAAGAGCATATTCAATTATGATTGTATTGTCTTAAATCTTATTTTTCATTACATTCAAAACAATATGAAACTTATTTCTATTCTAGATCTGTGTCACACACATGTGGTATGTATCAAGGTAGACATTCCAAATTAGTACTCCGAAAAATACACTAGAATTCATCTAAAAAAATCAGTTTATATACAGTCAAACACACACTACACAACAGGAAATATATGATCTACATAATTATAGTGTGATCACACACAAACATACATTTAATATTTTGGGAAAAAATCAGAAGGTTCATGCAATATGTTCTATAATCATATTAGAGTATTCATCTCATTTAAAATAATTCTCAAACCTTGCATGCAGTTAAATGTGACACACAATACTATGTATAAGTTGTAACTAGAATTAAATTGTAAAATGTTGGAACTTATGTTTAAATGCTATGTAGTTTTTCCCACTTTGAGATTCTCAGATTGAAGTAATTAGTAGATAGTCTGTTATAAATCAATTACTTGTGGGAGAAGCTACAGGTACCTGAGATTTACCATATCAGTACCAGATATCATTTAGGACCATATACACACCAATACATTTCTTTTTCTTTATCAAGTAAGTTATCACATCACAGAATTAATTCAATTTTGTATTTAATGTTTTCTAATTTGGATGTGTGAAGATCTGTTAGTGTTGTAAAACTCTCGGTGATAAATCCTGAATACCTTTTCTCTGAGCTACAGGTGTTTCAGGTTTACCTGCAAGGTATTACAATATATTTAATCAATCCTGCATAATGTCTACATCTCCAATTCATGACAAAATTCAAGCTGAAAACATGACATTATCTTTTGCTGGTGATAGCTATCACCTCCAGCCAACATACAATTACATGATATTTAATACAGACACATTACTCGGATGTACAATCAACACATGTACACACTCTTTCAAGTCTACATCAACAATTTCTTCAAATCAAATTAAAGCAAAGCACCAAACAATAAAATTCATCATAAAATCTCAGTTAACATAAAAACAATAACAAATATGTATTACGTCACTAGCTTATGACAATATGTCAAGTTTGTAAAGACAAGAGAAGTGAAAAGCAGCGGCGTTTCTTGTTAGAGAAATCAGAATGAAGGTTAGACACACACAGAGAGGTTAGTATAGCATACAGATATCCAACTCAACAGTTACAACATAGATATCTATCCAACACTTGTCCACTGTCTGAATGGGATGGCTCAGATAATGCATTCTGTCAAAATTTCCCACTATATCTATGATATCATGATTTTGTTTATCTCCAAAAATGGCAGTATGACCCATGTTAAAAATATACTGAAACTCACACAATGAACCCAACTTGAAATATCATTAGTTTTCTGTGATAAAATTCTATAACCATTTTTAGAAAAATAAAACAAACAAGGTTTTAATAACCTAAACAGATCAATCACTTTTCAGTTATCAGTATGATTGCATTATCAGAATGATCCCATTCACATATGTTTGGTTAAAACACAGATACAACACAGATACAACACACATACAACACACATACCAACACTCTCTAGGCTATGCCAACAACTACAGCAAACTGAGTATGTTCAAGATGTCTTGGTTTTGCCCCAAACTTTTAGAGAATACTTTTGACCATGTAAGTTTGTGTAATGCTTAGTAAATAAAACATCTGTTCTTCAATGAGACCTAATTTACACGGAACAATTTCAAGCCATATGGTTTATCTTCATACTTTTTAATGAATGCAGACATTCCTGACTAAACTATTAAAGTTTACTTGTAGGCTTAAAAAAAGATCATCTCGCAGCAAAAAAGAATTCAAAAGAATGGATATTCTAACTATTATTCAATGGAGGAAAAACAAACTTGTTAAAACTTGTTATTTAAGGACTTGTTATAAATAATGAAGACAAGAGTCTCCTATCTGATAGTACTCCATCCTGTTATTTACTGGCCAACAAACATTACCCTGGGCCTTATGGTGCTACAGAAGAAGATTCATAAAGCTTTTTACCAATTATGGCCCTTTTGATCATTTGACCCCAGCCAACAATTCAAAGTTGACCTTTGACCGAAACACAATACATAAAATTTAAGATTTGAGCTGCTGGTCTACATAACTTATCCAAGCATCATGGCTCTAGGCTTTGCAATTCTTTAGATGGTGTTGTCTTTAGTAGTTATATATATATGTATATATATCTGAAGCTACTGTTACACTGGGTCCTAGTTAATGTCAAATGTCAACTCTCTACATCTAAAACTACTAGTCCTGGCATATATCAGCTAGCTTTCACTAGTTTTAATCTAATGTAACAGAATTAATTAACAGCCAAATAAAATTGCATTTGAATTATGTGCAATATTGAAAATACAATTATAATATCTGTATTAAGTGTATTACTATTTAATATAGAATACCAGACATTCACTTGTAAAATGCATGAATTCCAAAAACTAATTTCATTTTGTTGTTTATTGATTTATATATTTTTTAACCCCCTCCCCTGATTAGTACCAAGAACATACTCACGAACACCAAACATGCCAAACTGTCAACTGATTGAGAACATTTACCTCCACACTGCAGGGTTTGTATTTGTTGTGCCATATACTGAGCAGCGAACGTCTGCTCATGATGAGGACACAAGCCGTCCAAACTGAAGGCCGTATTGGGCGAACCTTTGTTGGATCCCGAGTAACGGAAATGTGGGGCCACTGCAGAATGCATAGACAAGATGTTCTAGGCTGCACAGACATGCATGGGTAGATTTCGTCATGCGCAGAAATTAAACAACGGAGATAACTCAGAATTCCATGCTGCATTATAAGCAAACACTAGGAGTATGATTTTAGTTGTCGTTATCACATTATAGAGTAGATTTTCCCTGGCTAAACTGTTATGCATAGAAGACTTTGTGTGTCAAAACTTTTTTAATTCCCTGTGATCTGTAAGATTTTAATCTGCTAAATCCACTTTCTGCCTGATAGCCCCAACAGTGCCTCTAATTACTGAGTTATCTCCCTTGATATTTCCAAGCAGTAGAATTGGAATGTGTAAAATACAGGCATAAATATAAATGACCACTCTGAAATAGCATGAAATACCATACCACTATACTTAACACTTAGGTTCATTGTAAGGATACTGTCATATATACATAAGTCATCAGGACCAAACTCTGTTGGTGATCAAATAAATACCGCCCATCATTTTTTTTTTATGAAACGTCTGTTGTAAATTGTAGATAACTTATGTGATTGTTTATCTATGTGACTTGAGGCAGGAGTGTTTTTTTCCAGAAGATTTGCAGTCCTATGGCTGTATGTAGAATGACAAAGTTAAACCCCTTTACCTGTCTGTTACCTTTAATTAACCCAGCTGTTATAAAGTTCTCAATTCACCCAGGAAATTAATCTAGTACGAAATAAGTCTTTCACCAATAAAAAGTACAGTATACTTACATATATACAGTATGACAGACATATATACAAATGTACCAGAATTTATAAGATAATGTCCTTCTCCCCGACAATATAGTCAAATACAAAAATTCACTAGAATTATTACCTTTCCCTGTTCTGACCATTAATAGTAACAAGTTAACGCCCCCCTGAACATAATACTAAATTACATGTTAAGTGAGATTTACATGTTAAGTGAGATAGAGGGGAGACTACGGGAGACAAAATCAGTACCTGGTTTCTTTGTACGCAGGGTGACACCTACAAAGCAGACATGGACATTAGTTCTCAGCAGACCTAGTCTGTTGTACACTTTTTATTTACTGTTTCATTACAGAAATTATCCTCTTCCTGGACTTCTAGTACAGATGATCCACTGGACGGCGTCAGAAACTGGACACAGTGTATTATAGTATTACAGTGACAGGCTACACAGGAACATACTATTACTCAGGTTATTTTTCACCAATCCATCTGTGGTCATGTGACATAAAAGCATTCCAACATGCATGCATGCTAACACGTATCTGAATATGCAAATAGATTTCTTCTGATACAATGCTTCTCTAAGACCTATGCAGCCACATGCTAACACTGACGTCCGAGTGACAGAGATGGGGTCGAGTGACAGAGATGGGGTCGGGCCTAACGATGGTCTGTGTCTTACCTGCTTCGGAGTTGAGGAGCCCATTCCTGAGGTAGGCATTAGTCAGGGCTTCCAGGTATTCATTCTGAAGGTCAAACATCAAAAATTAATACAACAATTCTAAATATACAATCTTATGTTCAAAGGTTTATCATCTAGGTATGTCACCAATTTCAAGGTTAAAAGTCCACTATATGACTTATGTAGTTCTGCAGGTGCCCAATCTCTAGTTTTATATTTAGGCAGAGCTTCCAAGCAACAATAACACTTTCAAGTTTTTTTATGTTAACTATTTAAAATTCATTAAGAAAAATAAGAAAAGCTTTTTTTTTTAAATGAACCATTACTGTTAAAATTAATTACAATTTGGTAATAATGTTTATGATTTTCCCAATATCTTGTCAAATTAATTATCTTGTATGGTTTGAAATCATTCAAAGATGTGATACTATAATTATAATAGTAAGAGAAACAGTGCATTCTTTAATGATCATCATTATATTTTTCATCTTCATAGTCAATCTAACAAATAAGGATATTTTAAACAAATTTTTAAGTTACAACACCTTAAAATAATTACAAAATGACATAGAAATATGCCCTAGGTATTAGTTATCTATACACACACACACAACTAGCTCTACAGTACTATAACACGGTAGTACTATAACACGGTCCAACACCAGCTGATGACAATAACAGTATGAGGTTACATCATTCTACCAGATGACTGATGAGTGTTAGCAGCAAAACCAATATCATATTTTTGTATCTTTATCTTAACATAAATAAAACTGACATATTTCCCCCATTTTCTGAAGAAACTATTTCTTCTGATGATTCCTACCTTGTATATCTGTAAATGCTGAACTAGAGCAAAAAAAGTTTTGGTTTTAAATTTGTACAGAAAAGAAGTTTTATATTGATATCAATCAATATCAAATTTAACTTTGAAGATGATCATTTTGAGTCACAAGACATAGTTTTAACATGTTACTAATATATATAAGTTATAACAAGGCTTGATACTGATCCTAATGTTAGAAGTACACAGATCTAAACAGGAACAGAACTGTGAAAAAAGGACAGAGAGTGGGAAGTGTTAGAAGTGTCTAATGTCCTGATCCAGTTAACTATAAGCGTTCACCGACAAAGCATGTACAGTGTGTTCTGTCTAAACCAGGCACCAACAGGGCACAGCAACCATATACAATTTGTTTTGGTCTGCTGAGTCCTGGATTGCAAACAGTCAGCTTGTTAAAGATAATGGATGTTCCAACCAAATGTCCTATGTCCTATTATAACAAAAAGTTGGATTGAACAGAGTCTAGTTTAGACAGAATGTCCTGTAGTTTGTAAGTAATGATGTAGTTTAGACAGAATGTACTGTAGTTTGTAAGTAATGATGCAATCACCTTGAGCTCAGTCTAAATCTATATCAATAATCTACACAGCTACTATACTAGCATAATAACAGCCCAAGTCTGTAGAATTATAATAGTCTAATACCCTATAACCCACCAGGTAACGCAAAACACACAGACTTTTACTGCGTATATCCTGACTACAAGTCCTCAGGATTCCTACATCCAGACCATTATGTTTTACATCCAGACCATTATCATCATATTTATGTTTTACATCCAGACCATTATGTTTTACATCCAGACCGTTATGTTTTACATCCAGACCGTTATGTTTTACATCCAGACCATTATGTTTTGTAGTATTAATTCACAAACGATGACAATAATACTGATCAAGTTAACAAGCCATTAAGTGACATTGAAGCTTTGTTTCTAAGTTAGAATCCAAACACCATTTTAAAAATCGCTTTGTTTGTATACACTTACACATGCACAAACGTTTTACATAATACATATTATAACCAAATAAAACACCAATGTTTGGTAAGGACAAAGCTGACATGACTGGTGTCACACAATGACAGAACCGTGTCCAGTACACACGGTTAGATCAGAAGTCCAGTAAACCAATGTTACCCTGATAGTATTTCCTTCATCAGGCCTCTCCTGAAAGTGACTGCTAGCCGACATTTCCTGTATAGTAATGTTATTTAGTGAATTAAACCAATTTCTTTTGTATTTTTTTTATACAATAAAACAGTGGGGGTGAGTATCAACAGGACAAACAACATGGTTTCCGTGGTATTCCCGTATTACACAATCAACAACACTTTTACAGATCCCAGTGGTCAGGAAACACAAAAATCTCCATTTACCATCATTTACATAATTATATGCTAGTGAAATTTTACAGCAAAGTTAAAACATTACACCATACACAGTTTCTCAAAAATAATGACATAAAAACCTGTTTAAGATGTAAATATTCACGTATGAACATGTGTTACATTTGGTGGGTTTTTTACAGATGATAGACAAGTTCTGATTAAGGAGTTTGTTTTGTTTTCAATATTGCGAGAATTGTGATTTTTGGAAGACCAGGTGATGAGACATCAAATGTTATGGAAGACACACAACATGCTGTAAAAAGGAGCTAGAAATTAAGGAGGAGGAAAATGGAGAGGAGGAGGAGGAAGAAGAAGAAGATGAGGATGTTAATATCGAGTTTAATACTTGGTTTTCTTTTTCAAAACTTTTACAAAACGTGCCAGGCACTGACACAAGTAACACAGCCGGGCACTAACAGTCAATGTTATAACTCGACAAGCAGTAGGCCAACTGACACTAAAGGTCATATGACATCCATGTCATAGGGTGACAACAGAGGTGTAAGGTTATCTGGGATCAAGGTCAGATCACATGGTACTTTACCCTGCGTGGATTCTTGTCTTCGAGTTTTTCTTGGTGCGTGGCTGAGGTAGTAGTGGAAGGCCGTTCCTCGTATGACTTGGGGCGTCTTTGAGCAGATGTATACTTCATACTCTGAGCAGTCTGCTGGCAATAATACGCTTGATTACGATACATCACATAGCCACCAGTATATATATACCAAACCACTCTATACTCAACAAACATCATACATGTACTGTCCACATATCTCTTAACCTAACAGTTTACACAATTTTGACAAGAAAGCAGAACAATTACCAGTATGTCAAAATATGGAACTTCAGTCAAAGAACACAATGTAAAGCCATAAAGGTATAATTATAAATCAATCTTGATTTACTTTTTCAAAGTCATACTACATAACAAGCATTAAGATATCACATTTAGGACATTTTCCCATTAAGTTTAGAGATGTATGGACAGTGTTGTTAGTCAAGCTGTTTAGCACAGTTTCTACAGTTCTGGAGATTGTTTTCCTCATATCTATTATGAATACTTGATAGCCTACGGATCACACCAGTACAGTACTGTATACAATTAATGGACCCTGGCAAAGTGGATTGTTCAAAAGCCCAGCTGAGATGACCTTTCAATGCCACCCCTACAGATAACTGGTTGAAGCAGGACAAGCCTGTTACCTATCCTACTGTACTGGATGGGGGGGTTATTTCCAGGGAGGGCCCCGTCGTTCAATGACTTGGAACCCTTCTAGTCCGTAACTAGGCTGAAAAACAAGCATCTTGATGAGTCAGATTTCATATGTAATTCTATACTATCTGTAAAAAGTAGAAAAACTTAAAAACTACTGTTACTTGTCTTTGGTCCTGTTGGCTGAAATAAAGAATCAAAGATATGTGTGCTGAAGTAAGTGTGTTGTTTACTACAAACCCCGCAGTGCAACAGTACATCTGAAACTTGCATAAAAAAAAAATCACTACAAAAGTCATTTACTGATACTTTTACTATACATGTGTATAATTGAATGATGATGAATTGGCAACCACCAACCAAGTCCCTAGTAAATGTAACTGCAACTCTACAAGGAAGCTTGGCACGTAAAACACAAGCAGAGGAAAACGCTACAATGCTAAAGACCGGAGTTTTACCAAACACCAGCGAACCCCTACCTGAGAGGAATCGAATCCCACTGGTTTGCTTCCCTAAAAGTAGAGTGGTACCTGTCATTATTACTCCATCAACATAGAAGACTCAATATATTGTTGGTACTAAACACCCATCCCAAAGGTGAAAAGGTTAACCTCAACAAACTTTAATTCTGTGGCTCTAAGTTTGACATATTTCTGTTCCTGAAGTAAATTTAAGGTGCTTATATTTTTGTTTTGCATTGCTGTTTGAAAAAAAATGCTGCATAACATATACGAAACAAGCATTTTTATGTTTGAAGGTAGCAGATTCCCATCTATACCCATTTCCCCACATGTATACTGTACCTTGTCCTGTTTAGCATGGGCCGTTTGATGACCACTCATAGCCTTTTTGTCACACACATGGTCCTGTAATAAAGCCATACAACACTGTCAACAATTACATACATTATTCCTCCAGACTTCCTATCAATGACGTAGTATAAAACCTATACTGTAAACAGTTCCTACTCAACAAAATAAACGACTACAGGAATAGGCAGGATAATGTCATCCTAAAATATTAACAGTTCCAGAGAACATTTGTTACAACTTTTTGTCAGAACATACATATATCATCATGTGAGACAGAAAGTCTCTTAGTCCTAATCTTAACTACACACAGGTGGTGATCTACCAGGAATATTTTTTTTCAAATCACTAACTAGGTAAAGCAGACAAATTCTGTCTGACAAATTCAGCTTACTTTTTTTCCATCTTACAAATAAAGCATATATTTTCCTTTTGTACTATAAAGGCATACTGGTACATTTTCTGTTAGTACCGATATCACTATTATTATTTTTGACATTAAGTATTTCCTAAATCAAGATCAGGAAATATAACCTTATCAATAAGTCAGATGACAGAGAATACAATATAATATCAGTTACAGTGAACAAGATGATATAGTTTTATTGAACAATGAGTAAGAATAATGAGTAAATGACAGGAATATATAGGTAACATGCTGCTATCATCACACCAGACAGGGCATGCTGTACTGACCCAAACAATACAATTTATATCATGCAACGTAAAAGTATAACTCTGACAAATACTATAAAAGGTTAGTTTGGTTCGCGTTGATCAAATTGTTTGCTATTTTTGTAGCCCATACCATACATTTTTAACAATAAAAGCATTTCTTTGAAATTTCTTATACCAGCGGTATTGTTTATGATTTTATTTTCTCCCAAAGGTTTTACAAATAATACAATTAATGGTAACTACATGACGTTACTACAAACAAATTTGATCAATAAAAGAACTATACCCTGTACGGTACATTATCTATACTACTAGGTTTGTCTATCGGTGTCTAACACTGGTCTATAGTGGTCAGACAGAAGACGTGATCAGTATATATAGTTAATAAGTAACCTCTTCCCAAAATCAACCTTAATTAACTCAAACTATATGAGAACATTTTATCACCTTCACAAACATAGTTTAGTAACCTCCTCCAAAAGTCAGATTTAATTAACCATATATGAGACAGTGTTACCCTCACAAACATAATTTAGTAATTTTATAACCTCTTCTCAAAATCAGATTGAAGTAAATGGTCTGCACATGAGAAGATAATCTACACAAACTATACAGTATATTAAAGGAAATATGGTCCAATAGCTAACAGTAAAACCTTCATCCAACAAAACAACCTGCGCCCAAAACATGTACACCCTTTGTTTCTTAACAGTTCTGTCACACAAGGGCATCCTTTCACCAAACAACACTTTTTCTAATTTTTTTGGGGGAAAATTCAGTGTTTTGTGTATACACGTATCTACATGTAAAGCACAAACATGCATGAACGTTTTGTACATTACATCTTTACTCAAGTTAAATCTAAATGATTGTGTCCTAGCTGAGACATTTGTGTCATACCACACAGAACTGATGGAGTATATGACACCACAAGACTACAGCGCCACCTGGTGAGTATTACTTACCAGCAGATTCTTGTAAGGGGAGAAAAATAATGATGTATAGTAAAAAAGACTGATAACATATCTTATAAACACAACACAAGCAACTCTCATGCAAGTAACAAAGCATGCAAATTATTTTAAAACAAAGAACATCCAATTATCTTTTTAATATAAAAAATATTTAAAACATATTTTTGAATCAACTGTAAATTGAAAATGATACAGGCCCCAGTTCAAGAGTGATTGAACACTTTAAACTCACTGATGAAACAGACTTTACATAACATTCTTGTAACATCAATTTCTGTAAACTTTCATTTCAAACAACAGAAAAACAATGATATTATAAAACTGAGGCCACTATCTTAATAAATATTTTTTAATAAAATATTCTTTACACAAAAAATAAGAGTTACGTTACACCTTTTCACACAACACACTGTTTTCAACTTGAACAAAGAAACTTTGAAAACTGCACACAAAACAAAGAAGACACCTTGGGGTTGGCCGAAAACTACTTCCTGGTATACAGAGGTGAAGGTCATCCTAGCACTTACCACCCTCAAACAATAACAGCGTAACCATAGCGAGGCTCGATCTACACCCCAGTCAGTATATGTCTCTTCATGAAGCAATACTATATAATAATGGGTAAGCTTTCAAGAGATATTAGTGTTACGAGTGTAACAAGCCTGAAGATGATAGGTGTTCTATGAATGATATATGTTTATGGTTGATATGACCTTCACTTCAGACTCCATGACCTTGTAAAGTATACAGCATGGTTAGGTCACCATTTGACTCATCAATGGAGCCTTACAAATTATTGTTCACATATCTCTTCTCTATAAATGATCCACACATTATAAACAGAACTTTTAATTCATCAATTATCCAGGTTTTTCTTTGAATTCTTGGAAACCATGCTGTTTGGACTGATACAGTTCCATCACAGTTCAACAATGATTAAAAGATTTAAAGATGCTTAATTGGAAAACATGTATAAAAGAATAAGAGTTGTGCTCAAAATTAATATTTCATCATAAAATAGGTCATAGGTCATAGGTCAAAGCTGATAGGTGAAGGTCAGGTACACACAACCGTAAACTTGCAGGGACTCTGATACTAACGGAAGCCGGCCTATCCCCAGAGGAAACTTTCTTCGTGTCGTCCTTAAAGCTCCTTACTCTGTCTCTCTCTTTCTTTGTCTTTAATTTCTTCTTCTTTTTCAATTGCTGCAATACAGAAAATAGAATGTTGTTACCAAAGGAAAACACAGTTTTTTTACTTTTATCTTTTATGAAATATATTATTACAGAAATCATCTCTAGATAAAACACTGTTTCAATACAAGTGACATTATGCTTTTAAAACAAATTATGTTTCGTGCATGTTAAGTGTATTTTCAGTGAATTAAACGTGAATCAATCAAATTATCTCTCTGCCTTACATGAATAGACATTATCATTTTTTGCTGGTAAAAAAAAAGTAATTAAAAAATTTAGTTTTAAAACCACAAACACATATTTTTTCTGTTAAATGACACATAAATTAAGAAATAAGAAGACAAAATCAATATAAAGTGAAATAAAAACATTTAAGGAAAACATGTCAGTGTCAATAAGAAAACTCACCAAGTCATAAAACATGGCAGCAAAATAAAAGATGAGAAATAAAAATAAATTAATACACAGCAGGAAAATATATACCTGGTAGATCAAACCAGTTATGGTATAAATGATTTGTAATTATACATAACAGCTTACTGAACTATATCATCTCAGCAGTCTATCTGACAGTGAGGATGTAAACCCAGACCCGGGGAAACCAGCTCTAATATATCAACACTCTGTCCACACAATGGGAATTCTAAACAAAATCAGTATTATAAATCTTTCTGTATTGATTGAAAATGACAGCTGTACTGGTAAGTATTTCCCTGAATTCCTGCATTAATGAGGATACCTTATTGTACACAGTAGTATATACAATAGATAGCTACACCCAGGAACCCTTTATACAACTATACCCATAGTATACTGATTTTAAAGTCTTCTGCTAAGAATAAAGCTTTTCGTTTCATTTTTTTCTCTTCTAAATAAAACCAGTCAATGAGTGACAATGGATTGATTAAAAAAAATATTTTGAATTTTAGCTTTTAATTCATAAATTTTTGGTAAAAGTGTCAGTAAAAAACTGCTAGGAAGGAGTACACACATAAGTCTTATATATACATCAGTGTTTCCAATACCATCACTCAATTACATATCCATCTCTACCAATTATGAGATCATGTTAGTAAAGTGCTGTATTATAGACATGAGAAATGTGACAGGATAATATGATGTGGCTACAACATCAAACAGGGTGAATATTGTGATATTGGTCCTAACTAGTTCATATCCACTGTATTGTTGATACTCTGATAGCTGAATTGAACAATAACAACTTATATGTAAGGAAAATAAAACCCTTGTGTCTGTCTATAGTAACTGTAGATTGTCTTACAGACATCCCAATACCAACACTTACAGAGCAATCAAACAGAAGACGTAACATAACAACAACATGGTCCATCAACCTCCGACCAACACCATCACCTTCGATTCATAGAGAAAATGGCAAAAGGCTGTCACATGATAACGGTCTCACCACAAATGGAAGTGACAAGAAATGGTCACATGATAAAGTTTCACAGCAATGGGAAGTACTGTGACAACAGTTAGTCACATTGGTAATGAAAGGTCACATAGCAACGGAAAGCCACATAAAACAGGAGGGAAGTTACAGGATTGAAAGTCTTTTGACAATGGAAAGACCAGTGGAAACCAGTTTTCATGAACACAACAATGACAAATCACGCTTGTCCCATGACATTGGTCTGCAGCATGAGGGGAAGAGGTCCATTTGACAGTAAGTAGGTTTAATGATGATATTTATGCAACTTATCATTCAGGAAAGAGAATTATCAGTAGAAACATTCGACATAGCAGAAACAGACATCAAAAGGCAGAGAGCACCCTCTTTTATTTTCACTGTCCATAGTTTTGGCCAATGGCACTATTGTCAATAGTTTTATCTTTGATATAATCTGGGTCTACCAACACTGACCCAAAGCTTCACTGTAAAGAAGGCGGCTTTCAATGTTTGTAAAGAGAAGGCTTTCTGATGTTTGTAAAGAGAAGGCTTTCTGATGTTTATAAAGAGAAGGCCGTCTGATGTTTGTAAAGAGAAGGCTTTCTGATGTTTATAAAGAGAAGGCTTTCAATGTTTGTAAAGAGAAGGCTTTCTACTGTTTGTAAAGAGAAGGCTTCCTGATGTTGGTAAAGAGGATGCTGTCTGATGTTTGTAAAGAGAAGGCTTTCAATGTTTGTAAATAGAAGGCTGTCTGATGTTTGTAAAGAGAAGGCTATCTGATGTTTGTAAAGAGAAGGCTGTCTGATGTTGGTAAAGAGGATGCTGTCTGATGTTTATAAAGAGAAGGCTTTCTGAAATTTGTAAAGAGAAGGCTTTCTGATATTTGTAAAGAGAAGGCTTTCTGATGATTGTAAAGAGGATGCTGTATGTGTTTTTTACTATTACAAACAATTGCATACAAAAACAAATCCACAAAAAGGAAATATTCTCCTGAGTTAATCTCAGAGTAGACGCGACAAGTGGTCAGTAGGAAAACCAAAATTATTATAAATTTCAATGCGTTCAAGAAAGCCTTAATAGGTTTATAATTGAAAGCTTAAAACATTAATATAAGTGATAAACTTCACAGTAAATAATTGTTACTGATAAATAATATAAAACTGTAAGCAAAGGGAGGTTACTCCAGATCAGTCTTGTGATAACAAGCAAAAGACAGCCCAGAGGGAAGGATTATGAGGGAGATAACAAACTTGTTGAGATAACATGCGGAATCTGTACGGGGTACGTACTTGTATATCCTCCTGTCAAAAGACAGAGAAAGGACAAGTGTTAGTTCCAAGTCACCTTGAAATTCCAATACATATATTTTATGTGGAAGGTTGGGGAAAACTTTTAAATTGTATCTCAATGGCAAATCCAGAGGCTGGATTTTTAGGCTCCGGGGAACTCGATCCTAGCAGTGAATAACTCCTTAAAACCATGTATTGTGTATATGTCTTTCCTTTGGTATAACACCATGTATTGTGTATATGTCTTTCCTTTGGTATAACACCATGTATTGTGTATATGTCTTTCCTTTGGTATAAAGGAATCTCTACCCAGACCTAACTTGGAACCAACCTCTGGATCTGTCACAGCGATATCTATCAAAAACAATTTAACTTTGTAATCAATACCATCATTTCTCTTTAAAATCAATATCATTTCTTACTTTGAAATCTAGACTGTTGACATATTAACTTAAGACATCCATACAATCAAATTAACTTTAAAATCAATCTCATCATATTTAGACAAACAACTCAATGTTAATGTTCTGAGTATTTCCAAGACCGAAATAGTTTAGTATTTGAGTATCAAAGACACCAAAACGACATTTACTGAAACAATCATCATATCAAAAACAGAGATACTTCAACAAAGTGTATTGAAGAACAGTTACAGGGATGTACAATTTCATATCTAGATCTGTACAGACTCACATGAACAGTTACAGGGATGTACAATTTTATATGTAGATCTGTACAGACTCACATGAACAGTTACAGGGATGTACAATTTCATATCTAGATCTGTACAGACTCACATGAACAGTTACAGGGATGTACAATTTTATATCTAGATCTGTACAGACTCACATGAACAGTTACAGGGATGTACAATTTTATATCTAGATCTGTACAGACTCACATGAACAGTTACAGGGATGTACAATTTTATATCTAGATCTGTACAGACTCACATGAACAGTTACAGGGATGTACAATTTTATATCTAGATCTGTACAGACTCACATGAACAGTTACAGGGATGTACAATTTTATATCTAGATCTGTACAGACTCACATGAACAGTTACAGGGATGTACAATTTTATATCTAGATCTGTACAGACTCACATGAACAGTTACAGGGATGTACAATTTTATATCTAGATCTGTACAGACTCACATGAACAGTTACAGGGATGTACAATTTTATATCTAGATCTGTACAGACTCACATGAACAGTAACAGGGATGTACAATTTTATATCTAGATATGTACAGACTCACATGGACAGTTACAGGGATGTACAATTTTATATCTAGATCTGTACAGACTCACATGCTAACGTCTACTAACCAGACCTACATTTTCATATCATATATTAAAAAATTTCATTATTATTGACATAAAATTTCTAGGCCCTGGTATCAGACAAGTATAAGTGAACATCCCTGAATGATCAAGCTCAGATAAGTATGCAATGTTAGTTTTAATTGTATATGTATAAAAAAATAAAGTTACAGGAATGGCCAAAATATTTTGAAGTCATCAAATTTTAAAATTTTACACTTTATAAAAAGATCTATTTACGGAGCATTTTACACAAAATTAAGAATAAGCACACTTGGACAGAGACAGTTCTGGTTATATTAACATCCATATATGGGTTATTTACAATACATGTAACCAGCTGATAAATTTGGAATATATTACTTTATATAACCACAACATCAGTAAGCTACAAGGTATAGTAGCCACACAGCCCAGACTCTGCACAGTATAACCTACACCTCACAGAGTCTGTCATTCCTGTGCGATAACGACAAATCTCAACCCAACGGTAATATTTTTGAGTTAAGCCTCATGCTGAACTGTCTATAAAGTCCTTCAAGCTGACTACCTAACCGAAAAGATATGGACTACAAATATGCCCAATACCTAAATAAAATAGACTGTATTTAATACACGGTTGGGCATTTTCAAAACAAAACTGTATGGATACTGCATGTTCCGACATATAGTTGTGTGACCGCACAATGCACCAAAAATATCGTGCGCACACCGTGCATACATCGTTCACACACCATCCACACATCGTCCACACATGGTGCGCACAACTGTGCGATTTAACAATCGTTCGCCCCATTGAGCGCTTCTCTCCGCACAACTTTGCGATTTGGTACAATTTGTTGATCAATATTACGGAATGAAAAAAATATGGAAGGCTTGTATGCAATAATGTACACTGTATATAATACTGTAATTTCTCATCACCATAATTAAGATTATTTACAATTTTACAATGCGTGTAACACAGTATACAGTGGCCGTTAGACTGGCTCCTCGGTAACAGAACAGGTAAATAACAATTTGATGAGTGACCGAAATTTTACCTGGCCTTTGCCTGACATGTGATACCATATGACCGTTATGAAAACACAACTGGACGTTTAAATTTTGTTATTTGCATTCGTTTTGGTCTATACCTCTATAGTTTTCACGCCTTGGCGAGTTACGTAAGTGCCCGGGCGGGGGAAAACTACGGTCCAGGTACAACGTGGCTATGTTTACCTGTGTTGCCGAGACTGTGTTGTAATTATACATGTGTCGATTAAGGTTGTCAAACCGAAAACACCATTTCTAAATTTAAGAAAGTATAGACAGAAGTATATATTTATAGATTTTGCGTGTATATGTTTAAACACGAAACCGTATATATTGTTAAGCCATTCCTCAATTTACACCAACCACGATTGTTATCGCACAACGTTCGTCGATCGTCCGCACAAATGTGTGCAAGCAACGATCCTCTAATTTTTTATCGTTCGCACTTCGTGCACACATCGTTCACACACCGTTCACACATCGTTCACACACCATTCACACATCGTGCGCACACCGCACATCGTGTAACGTTGTGCGATCCCACAACTGTATACAGAATTATCCAATCAGAATACAGCTTTCAATATGTGACACACTGAGACTATAATGTGTGGGTTGGACTGTACTGAGTTCAGGTGGTACATCACCTTAGACAATTATAACATTTAAGCAGATTGGTGTTACTAGCAGTTTTTATATAAAAAAGACACTCTAACAAGATGGTAGGGTATATTAATATACGAATACTGAGGTTATATACACCAGGCTCTATAATAAAACAACAATAAATATCGTATTGGTTTTCTTTACCATTGTCATACTGGAAATCACTTCATTTTCTTGCGTACATTTTATTTCAAAAGCGATATTTGTACGTTTTACTCACGAAAACTTCAATGCATGACCGAAAGGATTGCTATGGTAATTATCCAAAGACAATTATTTGTGGAATATTTAAATTTGCAAATGAGTCTCTTCTTAAATTAATATAATAATTGATCACGAAGGAAAGTGATTTTCAGTTTACCAAAACTAATCAATACAAAAACATAACAGCTTTAAATATAGGAAACTTAACAATGTAGATTTTTTTAATTGTTTTTCAAAATTCGTAAAAATTAAGCAGTTTTTTTATTGTAACACTTTGTTAGTTGTAGACATGCACACAGTTACCAGACATGACAAACTATATCTGATTAATCAGTCACACGTTACCGGACTGTTAGCTCCCAGGTCCTTTCCGTAAACATGGCCACAGATTCACAACCATGCAATCGTATCCAGCAACGTTTATTGATGTAACATCCAAAATCACACCCCATATTTAATCATTGCCCGCGAATCCATGCAATTTTAATTTACAAGCAATAAATCTACCCACATTTAGTGCACTGAGAAATAGAACGTTTCTGAAGAATCACCAGGAAAATTATAATCCAGCTCCCTGATACTGATAATCATCTACATTTTGTTGTCAGTTTTTGTTATCAGTGAAATAGGTTTTAGGCCGGTTATATGGGCTGATATAACCTGGTTGAGTTCTTTATTTCCCAGGCTGAAGGATATAATGAGCTTCATAAACTCCATCATCTCCTTCAGTGGCTATAATCTCCAGCAATCCTTACATGGTTAAAAGACATGTCTGAAGTGTTTTTCCAGAAATAATTCATGAAAGTGAAAAATTGCAAAATGTAAATGATGAACAGTATCTTGACAAAAAGAAATATCCCTTGACCAATAATTTCAAAAACTTCCTGGAGTTACCTACCCTTTGAGGAGCGAACTGCAAATGCACCGGAGGCCCATCGGACACAGAGCTGTCTGACCCACCATCACTACAATACATAATAGTCATACCTTGTAGAACATGGTAATAAATCTAGTTTTAGTGAATTTGATAGTAACCTAAGCATATGTAAGGTTTGACCTCTAACTACAAAGGATAACAGATCACTCAAATTTTGATTCAAGTGGAAAACTACAGATAATATGCTCTGCAGTTTCTTTAAGTTTTTGACTTAATTAAATTGATTATTTTACCGCACTAAGAAATTAATGAGAGCTATGTCCCCAGAATTAAAACTGACCTGGACTCGAGAGAGCTGAAGTCATCGCTGAGGTCAATGTCGTCAGCTGAGTTTGGACTTATTCCAGCTCTCTGGAGTTTGGCAAGGATGTCCCTCTTCATCTTGTCCTCCAATTCCAGAAGTACATTAGCACACTGTAATTACAACATTAAAGTGATGATAACATGCTGGGTATATTAGTGACTCAGAAAGTATAGGTAAAACCACAGCTACATCATAAGTAAACTAAAGATAACCTACAAATAAATAAAAGTTAAGCAATAATATACACATAGGTGAAACAATGTCGCAGTGTAATATTATGCTATAAAGGTGTTCAAATTTGTCCATGTATAATTAAATCCTATTTGTTTAAAATGATTTTGAGATGATCATACTAGAACTACTGACCACAGGCTAACTAATGCGCCTTGAACCTACATAAAAACATGATTACTGCAGGGGCGAAACAATGGATGCCCGTCATATACCATGATGGCAAGCATTTTTAACATATTTAGGACCCTTCTGATGCATTTTTATAAAAAAATGTATGTAAATATTGAAATAGAACAAGAAGAAATTACATCTGTACTACATAACTTAGGAGAGTTGAGTTATTTCTTGGATGTGATATAAGGGGAAACATGTACTGCAATTTACTAAATATAAGCCAAAGAAATTAATACCTTTAACAAACCTTTTTAATTGTTTAGGGATTGCCTCCCTTAGTCCAAATTCCTAAACTAACGAAATTCCCGATTGCTACTTAATTACTGGCGGATTTCACCTGTCAGTCAGCGAGCGGAGACAGTTCCGAGTCTCTCAGCATTTTGGTTATGCATCCTTCCCCCTTTCAACGGATATCACCCGAGATAAATCTAGCTGCTCTCCTCTACCTACAGATACTTGATCATGTGCGGACGTTAATGCAAAGCAGTTGAGAAGGTAAGCTGTAGCGCATTTGACAAACTTCCTTCTACAGACAGACAGAACAACCTGTTTCCAGTATACATCAGCCTTCATCCCTCCCACAACTTTGTTGTGGGTTGTATATATAGGTTCTCACATGAGTTTCCATTTCATATGAGTTTTATGAAATGAGTCTAAGAGTTTTTCAATTTAGCGAGCCTCGCCACATGAAATGAAAGCGAGTATAAGATCCTTTTTATCACATAATCAAGATTTGTGGCGTTTATTTGTGTTAAACGACAATCTTCATGCAACCTCATACAAGCCAGATCTCACGGCGTGAGGCAATATCTCACAGATTTTCACCTCCAATTAAGTCTCACGGCGTGGGACATGAACTTATGGAAAGTCCTCAAATCCTCACATTTTTTAATGAGTGATCGGTGTCCCATTTTCCTGTTGTTGTTTACTCAAAGTCTTACGAGATTCCACAATGTTTTCAGCGAGAAATCACGAGAGCTCTCGAGTAGCGGCCATGTGATTGGTCATGTGATTGAAGAGCTCTTCCGATAACTTCCGGAAAATATAGCTGGTTGAAATGGCCGGGTTGAAATTGTGAGTTGATTTCGGTGTCTTTTACAATAAGTAATCTATTTGAACAATCAAAATAAATTCATATTATAGATTTAGTTTGATCTTTTCGTATTGTTGCCATTGATTTCCGTGATACTACAGAATGCCTGACAGTCTTAGTCGTAACCACTGTGCGACGGTGTCGGCTTCCGCATCAAAATTTCCCGTGAAGTTGATACCTCACACTGTCAGTAGAATTAGCACGAAACATGTTTTCTGTCATGTTTGTAAGGTTAGTTCATTGCTAGAAACTTTGATAAATAAGATGTCCGACTAAGTGTTTCTTAACAATTATAATTTCACTACGAAAGAGAACGACCGGTAAATATATAAGTGGCATGTCATGAAGAAGATGGAAAAAGTCTTTGTTCTGAATGCTGAAATATGTAATTTAAAAGTTCAAATGCTGAACACAGTTTTCTTCGCTTTCACAGCTGATTATTTCTGTCCTCTTGTTAAATGCATGTTTCCACATTCTGTTACATTATCAAGAAGTTCAAATGTAAATGAACATAGACAACTATTATCCATAGTTTTACAAACCCAATACACAATTCAAATTTTAACTGAACATTAGTAGTACTGTGGCTGCTGTGAATATTGGCCTGTCATCAGCAATACCATAACATATAACAATGCAAGACAAGGCATTCCATTTGAACAGTATAAAACATCTGTGTAAGGGTAGTGTTGTACACTAATGTCCACATTGAACAGTATAAAACATCTGTGTAAGGGAAGTGTTGTACACTAATGTACACATTGAACAGTATAACACAGCTGTGTAAGAGTAGTGTTGTACACTAAAGAACACATTGAACAGTATAACACATCTGTGTAAGGGTAGTGGTATACTCTTATGTACACATTGAACAGTATAAAACATCTGTGTTAGGGTAGTGTTATACACTTATGTACATATTGAACAGTATAACACATCTGTGTAAGGGTAGTGGTATACTCTTATGTACACATTGAACAGTATAAAACATCTGTGTAAGGGAAGTGTTGTACACTAAAGTACACATTGAACAGTATAACACATCTGTGTAAGGGTAGTGGTATACTCTTATGTACACATTGAACAGTATAAAACATCTGTGTAAGGGTAGTGTTGTACACTAGTGTACACATTGAACAGTATAAAACATCTGTGTAAGGGTAGTGTTATACACTTATGTACATATTGAACAGTATAAAAGATCCGTGTGAGGGTAGTGTTGTACACTAATGTACACATTGAACAGTATAAAACATCTGTGTAAGGGTAGTGTTATACACTTATGTACATATTGAACAGTATAAAACATCTGTGTAAGGGTAGTGTTGTACACTAATGTACACATTAATTTTATCTCCACAAAGAAATTGAGCTGTGTTGCCTACAAATGTATTCTCCAAATATCGTATGCAACAATCAGAAGACAACCAAAAAGTTGAAATGGAGAAAAAGATATTATAAATATTAAAAAAACAAAATATTACTTGTAGGGGTTAAAACCCCCAGGAAAACAAACAGAAACAAATAAACAGTTGTGCTAACTTAAAGCTTGTAATGGTAACATAAAGCATGTCCAATCACAGGAAGCAAGACTAACATTGCATGTTAACTTATATCACAACCAATTGTGTAATGTACAAAGCATGTGAGGGGTTAATTAGTAATGAATATATTAGTTGTTATAAAACAATTAAATGAGCGCAGTATTATGGGATATATCGCTGAATTTAAGTTATGGACAATGATGCAACATTTAATATCCCCAAGGACAAGTAATATTTCTCTGAACATGGACCTGTTATCTTTAACATCCATTTTATTCCCATCTAACAGAGGGTAACATTTACTCTGAACTAGTGCCCATTATTAACTTTCTTAACTTAACAGTGACTTTACAGGACCATTACCTTCTTTAGGAGGCAATTGAAGTTTTGACAGGAGTGTCTATTCCGTCTTTTCGTATTGCAGAGTTATCTGCTCTTGTGAGCTGGTATTGATTGTTACGTCATTTGTTTGTGAGAGTAACGTCATAAATATTTGAGAAAACGATGTCATTTTCTCACACAAACTAATGATGTAACAATCAATACCTGCTCACAAGAGCAGATAACTCTGCAATACGAAAAGACGGAATAAGGAACTGTTCAGGACCATTTAAGTTGTCTCGAAAAAGTCGAGGATTATCAGATATCAGTATATATTTAGATTATTGACATTATTTATTCACCTGACAACAGTGTATTATTGAAACCAAAATATCCCACTCCTACAAAAACTGCTATATATTTGTTGAATGGAATAGTTTTTAGTAAAACAAAGCGTGACGATGTATAATGTAAAGTGATGGTAGCAGTGGGAGACAAAGGGATTGGTGCTTGATTGTTAGAAATCAAATATACAACACATTTCTGAGTAGTCTGATGATTGATTCATGAGGTGAATAAATCAAAACATGATGATTTTCAGTGATAGTACCTGTATGATTATTAAAATATGATGATTTTCTGTGATAGTACCTGTATGATTACTAAAATATGATATGAAAACAATGAATTATATCTTGTTTTTTTGAGTCCATAACTAGTTCTCCAACCAATCTTATATGGATGATCATGCAGACAAAAGCGTGATGTTGACAGACCTAGAATACCAGACTACTGCGGCTGTATATACAGGTACAGGTGAAGGTGAGGCTATATATGGGGGAGGATGGGCGCCATGAGTATGTGCCTCCTCTTCATGTGGAAAGCAACAAATATTTACCGTAGTTATTTCAGCAAATAGTGGGATTACCGAGCATCATGAATGGCAAGCAAAAGCAACAAAAATCAATACATTATTTATGATGTATTATACAGGGCTGTCCCTTATAACTGTAGAAACTTCTTCGCACCTGGTTTTCTATATGATACCATAACTGATTCTACCGATGTATGATACGAGTAGTCCCCTATAACTGTAGAAACCTCTTCACAAATACTTGTCCTCCTACAGTATAGCAATCTAGGTTTTCTATATGATACCATAACTGATTCTACTGATGTATGATACAGGCTGTCCCCTATAACTGTAGTAATCCCTTCACAAATACTTGTCCTCCTACAGTGTAGCAATCTAGGTTTTCTATATGATACCATAAACTGATTCTACTGATGTATGATACGAGTAGTCCCCTATAACAGTAGAAATCCCTTCACAAATACTTGTCCTCCTACAGTGTAGCAATCTAGGTTTTCTATATGATACCATAAACTGATTCTACTGATGTATGATACAGGCTGTCCCCTATAACTGTAGTAATCCCTTCACACATACTTGTCCTCCTACAGTATAGCAATCTAGGTTTTCTATATGATACCATAAACTGATTCTACCGATGTATGATATAAAGCATCACTTCTACATTAAAAGTGCAGGAGAATGCGCAGGTGTGTTCACTCTGAATGTATATTTACTTCTGTAATGTAATTGAATGATGTTAGTAATGATAAAGTGGAATCAAACGATCTGTCTAGATCACAAGCAATGTCTTAAATTTATGAAATCAACACTATCAATTACAGCTGTTATCTTATACATAAGGAGTTTTAATGGTAATGAAAAATTCCTTTTTGCCAACATTATCCTCAGTCAAAATATATTTAACATGTCTCTTTCTATAGCAGACTTTCTGAAAGAAACTCAATTTTACCTCATGCTCAAATCCAAAATTTATCTAGGATAAATTTATTTGTACTGAAAAATTTTCCTACATTCCAGTACGATAAATGAGAACAAGATACCTTAGTGTTGTCTGGATCGCAGTAGTCCAATAAGGTATCACAGAAGTGGTAGCCCATCGCCTCAAAGTCCAGCAAGGTAAAGTGGTAGCCCTTCTTCTTCCCAATGGTGGAGCCGCAGAACGTCGCCTACAACATACAGGCATGTTACAGGACTTCGCGGCTTCACTATCAGACATAATGTTATTCTGAGCAGTTCTGTCCATTTCAAGCAGACATGCAGTTTTTATTGGCCAACAAATACAAGTGTGCCTATTTGCCTTCCTAATTCTCCAGACATGCTTCTAATATTGTATGTTTAAAAGAAAACCACTTGACCCTGTCAGAGATGTCTTAAGGCTTTCAAAGTGTTTTACCTGACCGAATCCCATGAGTGGTTGGCAAGTGCTAAGACAGAAGGCTAGGATAGAAGTGATAATGTGGCAATCGGCCATTGCATATTCTTCATGAAACAAGTAATGTACTAAAAAAGCTTCAGACACTTTTGTTGAAAGCAAAAACAAAACATTTTTGTGAGAAAATCAGTATTATAGTGTATAACATACCTCCATCGTGTAGCTATTCATTATACCCATGTGCCACATGACAATCCGACCTGTCCCTTCTTTGCTCTTCTGAACCTTGAACTTACACGACTCAAACTTAAACTGAAACAGATCACAGGCTTCGATATACCGAAAACAGTGGGGACTGTCTTACATTATCTATTCAATTTTTTAAATTTCATCTCATATTTTAAAAACTTTAAACAGATAAACAGTGTAATAACATTAAACTCCTGGTTTGACCATGCATATTAAAGTAATTGAAGCACAAATAAGTATATGAACACAGTAAAATGGGTGCTGTCACATGTTTCAAGACAATACAAAATGTGACCACCTGTTTTATAAGGGAAGGTCAGTAAGGAGTGGATGGTACCTTGTCTGGAGCATTCTTGTTGAGCATGACAGGGAAGATCCGTTCTCGGAGGCGTTTCTCCGGGTTGTGGCGGTTGTCACAGCCGTAGATGAACACATTTTGTTTTCTGCTATGTCCGTGAAGGTCACAATACACAATGATCTCTCTCTCCTGGAGAAGTCTGTGAGCAAAATACATCATGTGCTTACAGAAATCTATCAAACAAGTTTATGGAAATCTTATAGCAATCTGCAATGCATGTTTACAGAAATCTCTGAACAGAAGTCAAATAGCAACATATACCGGGATAATACTACACTTCTTCAAGTGTTTACATCCTTTTAAGTTTTTTAACTGGTTTCTAATCCCATTGGTATTTTTGTAAATAAAATATGTTTTAATCAAATCAAAAACCATTAAATTGTATACAAAAGTCCAAGAGACACATACAATACATCATTAAAATGTGTTTTAGTGCCTTTTTTTTAAATGCTTTATCACAATTCCTGAACACAAACAATAACTAATCTAGTGACTGATAGCAGGTAACAGCTAAGTATATCCGACTCAGTTGGTGGGGGGGATTTCATTTCAAAGGAGATAAGAGTTACCTCCCTTTTCCTTCTAAACGTACAAAATGAACTATTTTTTCCCCTTTATCAAAACAACTAGATATATGTATCTTTGGACACGTACTTGCGGATCATGTTTTTTGTGTGCCACACGGAGGGGTAGGAGTCCTTGAGCACAGTTTTGTAGTTCCTGTTTAGGTCTCTGCCTGCTAGGGAGCACCGGTAGTTACCCACTATCACTCCGTCAGGGTTTAACATTGGCACAATCTTAAAGATGAATGTGTCTCGCAGAAGCTGCAAATAAACCACACCATTTAACTGTTGGTACACAGTGACCACATATAGGCCGTCTTTTAACCGATTTTAGCAACATAGACCACATAGAGGCTGTCACCTAACTAATTTCAGCAACAAAGACCACATATAAACTGTCACTTAATCGATTTTAGCAACATAGACCACATACAGGCTGTCACTTAACTAATTTTAGCAACATAGACCACATATAGGCTGTCACTCAACCGATTTTAGCAACAAAGACCGCATATATATAAGCTGTCACTTAACCGATTTTAACAACAAAGACCACACAAACACTGTCACATCAGTGTTACTCTATTTTTGTTCAATTTGTAAAAATATTCACTAATGATTTCAAGCAAATACAATTCCATTGAATTTGTTCTATTACATGCCAATTTCACTTCAGATACTGTTCTCTCTAGTGAATATAAAAGACAGGTTTCAATTCAAATTATTGTTAAACAAGCTCTAAAATTTAAAACTACATTTAAACATATGAACAATATGTGTGTGTGCAAGTGACACGTTGTCTGTGAGTGTCTATAAGATTGTTGTCATACCTTAGCGTCTGCGGAGCTACCAGTCAGGTAGTCAAGGAAACCTTTCATCATCCAGCTGGCATTACACTCGCCAGGATGTACTCGAGATGTGATCACGACGGCTTTCTTATGCTGAAAAAGTATTGGGGCAAGTTTATTATAACATATCCATTTCTTAACACTCTACCATCCATTACATTTTAATCTACCATCCGTCATATTATAAGAACTGCCACAAAAAATCCTGATTATAACAATCCCCCACAGACCTTGCTCACTGTATCCTGTTAAAATCAGATGTTCATGAGATAATTCCTTCACAGGGAACATTCTATGACTTAGTTACGAATCGAGACATCGCCAACTTAAATATTTGATGTTGGTGTGACTACATATAGTTTTTTTAATTGATAACTCCTTGGGGAGCCAATCAACCCATAAAATGCTGAGGTAAAGATCTTAGTAGAGTATGTTCACCAACCTTGATGTCCTCTGGGTTTTGTGATGGTGAGGTAATGGTGAGAACGTAGACGAGGTTCCCGGCGAGCGTCCGACATAGCACTCTCTGTTTACAGATTTTGGACTTCACCGGGTCATTTGTTATATCTAGAAGGTAATCCTAATAAAGACAAACAAGCAAATCTCATTTAATAAACCAGTTCCTGTCAAGTAGAGATGTTACATTCTTAAGGTAATGTCACTCTCTTCTCAACCTCTCTAAGTGTAACAGAGGTTTCACATTATATAATTACATGTTATACTGTAGTTTAACCTCTCTAAGTGTAACAGAGGTTTCACATTGTATTAGTACATGTTATACTGTAGTTTAACCTCTCTAAGTGTAACAGAGGTTTCACATTGTATTAGTACATGGTATACTGTAGTTTAACCTCTCTAAGTGTAACAGAGGTTTCACATTGTATAAGTACATGGTATACTGTAGTTTAACCTCTCTAATACAGAGGTTTCACATTGTATTATTACATGTTAACTGTAGTTTAACCTCTCTAAGTGTAACAGAGGTTTCACATTGTATAAGTACATGTTATACTGTAGTTTAACCTCTGTAAGTGTAACAGAGATTATAATACAAATCGTACTAGAGGATGGTATAGCAGTTTAACCTCTATTATTCTTAACATACCATATTTAAGCCAAACAGAGCTAAAATTTCCAGGATCGTGACTTACTTGTAGGTCTGTGTATGTGTATGGGAAGCAGTGAGCAAAATAAACTGTATCATTGTCATGTGGAAACTCCACAGTCCACGTCAGGGAGTAAAACGGCTTCTCTCCCTTGGTAGTTTCATATCTACAATAGAAAATATATCATAAAGTGTATAGTTCTCTGCAAATAAGACCTAGAGTCTTTACAAGTATATAAACTGTTATATTTATAGGACAATCAATACATTAGTGACTATTTCTAGATTTTCAGATTTTCTTAATACTAAATCGAACTGGTAGAAGTCTGGTCAGATCCGGTCATATCATTCCAGGCTAGAATCTTGTTACATGAAACGAGAAAAGGAATTTCTCTCAGAAATCCATCCTGTACTTACTTGATATTATTTCTGTAGTATTTGATGTCGCTACCAGAACGTATCCAGCCAACTTTCTTAGTCTGAGCCTCCTTCTCACTGTACATCAGGGGCTTCATACCGTAGTTATACAGGCTGTCTGACTTGATGAAGTTGACGATGGTGAAGCGGTACTTGACGTTGGCGCGGGTATTTGATACCCTGAAGTAGTACCACTGTATGTGTTTGTTGGTATAGAGGTCGTAACGTAGCCACATTTCGTAGTCGTTGGTGACTCCTCTGTAAGGACATGTACAAACTTTATACTAATTTAAGGGAAATAATGCACAAGGAGTCTCCCTTCAACCAGCAGAACTAGTCTATAGCTCCAGAATTGAATGGTATAATTTTAACATGAGGAGATGTCTGTAGCTTTATAATTAACATAAATGGGTAAATCATTCAGAAGTTGAATCTTAGCTATATGTGAGGGACACAAATCTTGTTATTCCTGATATTTGTATAAGTAAAGCTACTTACACCTGGCAGGCCTTGGCAAGGTTCCCACTCTCGAAACGAGACTCAAATATTAGTGTGGTGTCCTCCTCGGTGTTGATCTTGGGAGCACACTGTGAGGGGCCTGACCTACAACCTCTTACCCTCGACCTCACAAACTGAAATCACATAAAGCCAAACCCATGAGCTAAAACGCGAGTAGAAAATCTTGAAAACCAAAAGCGAAGCAGTTATAATCTCACCAACTGAAAGAACAACCCGTTTATGTTTCAAAATTCAAATCACATACATTAGTCATAAACTCATAAATATACTAAAAAGCCATATTTGACAAGAATAAAGATCAAAACAGAATATTTAGAAACAGAAAAAAAAAGGCAAATATCCTGTAGATATTTAAAGTGTTAAAGTAAAGTTAGTTGATCGTCTGCTGGATAACCAAACTACTCGGTAGTGAAGCGGACGTAAAACCAATCAATCAGTCATTTCGCCACGTCTGCTGGATAACCAAACTACTCGGTAGTGAAGCGGACGTAAAACCAATCAATCAATCAGTTAGATTGAAGTGTGCAGACGGTCATAATGTGGGAGGAAATGGAGTATCCGAAGGAAAGCTATGTGGTCAGGCAGGTAACCCCATACCTGTCGCATCCAACTGAGGAATCGGATCCCAGCGGTTTTGATGAAATGTGAGTGCCCTATCTATTGCACCATCTGACCATTCTCTAAGCTGTATAGATGTTCTACAAGTGACCCGAGGGTGTTATCTTTGTTAACCTTCCTCGAGCTTCAGATTAATAATATTCATATGATGTTATTTTTCTAGTGAATTGATAGGTGAATGCCACCACCAAGATACTTCGTCCTTAATGTTCACGATGAGTACTTCACACATTAACTTTACATAGCTTCTCACATGGCAAACTAAACTGGGGAAGTTTTCAAACTTTTATATTCTGAGGTTCTTTTGGGATGGATCAACGAGCTGAGGATTGATGATGAGACAATTCATTTGGGTATCTTTTACCGGTATATCCTTATTATTGAACAGTGAGGGTGTAATGGTCCTGTAGATAGTATTGTATCAGCATGGTGACGGTTAGTCCAGCTACCCAGTATAACAGGAGACACACACCCAAATACTACTGTTACTGGTGAATCACACATATGTATAAGTGAGAAGAAAAATAAGAAAACAAAATATCAGGTACGTAATTATATACTAACCGTTGCAGTTTTTATCATGATTGTCGATTGCATACTGTTTCTTAAATTGTGAAGCAACTGTTTGAAACCAGATTTATTCTGATTGGAACAAATCATGTTTAAACTTTAGAGAAAATTCACATTTTCTGGCAATAATGTTGTCAGTCTGTGTCATCTAGTAAATTAAATCTTATACTATAGTCAGCTTTATATGAAAGTCAGTGAAAATTTAAGTTTATCTGCCGATCTCTAAATCCTTGTGACATAATGAAGTGCATGAATTCAACTTTATACTCCATATTGGACCCAAATTTTATATGAGTCTTCTTGAATTCTGAAATCGAAGGTTCTAGCCTGTTCAATATTCAAAATCAACATTTCTAAAAAAAAGATAACATCTAAAAGGAAAGCCATCTTAGAGAAAAGCATTTTGTCACCGAGTTATTTAACAAGCATTTCATTACCGAGTTATTTAACAAGCATTTCATCACCGAGTTATTTAATAAGCTGTCTGATCAATGAACATGTGACTAAAATTCTAACAGTGCCTGATATAAACTGTACACCCTCCAGTCTGTAGTGTAAAGCCTTGTAGTCGTTAAAGCTGAATCTCTACAAAATCCTACCCTCTCCTTCTATAACTTACCTCAATCCTCTTCTTCCTCTGAATATCATTACAAATGGAAATGTATTCATATTTATATGGACCCTCTTAAAAAGCTTCCAAGAAATAAAGAATGGCATGTACAGAGAGTTAATTTTTGATATTCATTATCAAAATATCCATTAACAACTTCAGTTTTCTTTATCCATATAAGCTTGTATATGCAAATATGTATATGTAAAAACCAAGTGGCCTCATGGACAGATGGCTAGCTGATTTTCAGATTAATTTAGTAAAAAGTAATTTTAGAATGTTGGAATTATTTTCTTCAGAAGTCTGGCAAAAGCATCTCGAAGTATAACCCAACCCCACATCCATGCAGGGTTTGACAAGAACATCTAAATACTTGGGCAATGAGTTTCTCAAATGTAAGTCTATACCCAGGGCTAGAATGAGGGCATCTCAAGGTGTAACTCAATTATAATCCATGCTTGAGTGAGGGTCTGTCAATACATACAGCCCAACCTGTGTACTTACAAAGCTAGATCTGGGCTGGTACATGTAGACTAGATTTGCACCTCTTTCCTCGCCTCGCACCATGGGCATTCGCTCCTGCCCATGCTGTTTGTAAAATGGCTCGGGAGAAGGAGGGATATACCGGATGTGTCGCACCTTCTCTTCCAGGACTTGAATCTCTGATGGCCTGTCAGATAGAAAGAAGATAGTATTCTGAAAATCAGAATCCTGATATCACTCAAGCTAAACTTATGGAAAATTGAAACAACTTAGACAAATGTTCATAATTTCATTTACAATAAAGGTAAGCTGTAACTGGTTTATGTTATCATCCAGAAATAATCCTCTAATGTTTTAATAATTATATTGTTAGATCTGCCATACCTATCACTGAACATAATAACAAATAATTGACAATATTTTTGTCTCCATTAATTAGGATAATAAATAAGAAACAGTTGTCACTAAAATGTTTAAAAGGACTATGTTTGGTTTGGGTGTGTTTTGGCCCTCAAATGCATCAAAATTCAAAACCTTTAAATGAACTTTAAAATGACTGTTTCTTTAATTTCGAATACTTCACAAATACTATTATGATAATAATATTTATATTTCTAATTATTGTTGCCATGGTGAAAACCTGTCAAAATTGACTGAATAATCAAATTTCAATAATTTATGCAAATATGACCTGGTTACCATGGCAGATAAAATTGAAAACACAAATAAATGTTAACATAATAGTACTGGGGAAGTATTCAAAATTAAAGAAACAGTCGTTTGAAAGTTCTATTGCAAATTTTTAATTTTGATGCATTTGGGGGCCAAAAAAGGCCCAAATAAGGCCTAAATCATCCTTTAATATCATATTCCCGCTCTCACTACAATAATAACTGCTTTTGTATATAAAATCGTTTTTACCATCTTGCAGACTGTTGTGGACCAAACTCCTTTGCCAAGGCGTAAAGATTCCTGGGCTCCCGTAACTTTGGTACCTGTCAATGAAGGATTAGAGAATGAGGACAAGCGACCTTGAACCAAACCTGACACCCCTATTCGTACATACAGATAAAATAGACTTGATCTATTTCAAATAGGAGCAGCAATCCATTCCAGACAGCAGAGGGACATACTCATCAATGACGTTTATCCTGTAAGGAATGCATCCCTGCCATCCATTTAAACCTCAAGTTAACATACATAAGTGCTTTGTCTAGAAATCCATGCAGGTAGATGCTTGTCACTATAAAAGTCCAACTTCTGCAATGTTTAACGTAGCCAGAGGTGGAGTGTCTATGCTATGGGGATCAATATGCTGGTATAACACATACAGTTAGTGAGATTCCATTGCAACTGGAGTCATTTGAGAAGCATGGATCTTGATATCATTTAAACTGTAGAATTTAAAACAAGAGCTACAAAACCTGACTGCAATGAATGTTTCAGCTAGACATCAGCGTAAAGAATTCTACATGGTATGATCATGTTATTTTTAATAGATAGGTAGCCTATGGGGCCTGTATTTCACTCACCTGTATTAATTTGATATCTAAACTTGATGAATTAAAAATATCTCAGTTAGACAGATCTTAGACGCGAACATTTTTGCAGAATACCTAGGTCTGATATTTCTTATGGTAAATAAAAGTTCATAAAATGTTCAACCTGTGACCTTGAAAGTAGCTCTGACAAGGTCATTCATTTGAATAAACTAGGCAGGCTTAAATGGCTACAGCAAGTTAGAGGTCATGACTGTTAACATCTCGGTCTTCATTCAAGTCATTTGAAGAAAATTTGACAGATGAACAGATGAACAATGGATGCTGCATTGTTGTACAAACTGAAAAGTGTCCTTGTTTTAATGAGTGAACGGTACGTACCATTCCTCGGCCATCCTGGTAGCTGTACACAAGCTGTGTGGTCCTCAATAGTTCCTCCTGTAGTTTGTTGTCTGAAACACGCGAATAAACAACAACATAAGGACAAATCAACAACTCATATTAATTATCAACAAAAGAAACAGTTTTCAGTTGAAATCGTTTACAGTGACTGTAGTGTTGTTCTGTTCCCATAACTGGTTTTTACTTGTTGGATCACAATAACTGTATTTCTGTTGATTAATAGTACAACTGTAAGAGAGAAATCTGGGAATGGCATATCTCAACAGTCAAGTTAAAAGGTTACAAAAAAATGTAAATCTATGCAGTGTTACCTGAAGATTCTTCTGCAAAATAACTAGCGGAGTCCAACATTACAAAACATGGCTCACAAATCACAGCATAATATAAACATCCTAGAATCGGCTATAATGATCTGGACGCATCCGAGTTCCAACCAACTCACATCACAGATGTTTTGTATTGTTTCGTTAAAAAACCTCTTCACTTAAATAAAACAGAATGGACAGAACTTCTTGCTAATCCAATTGTTTCGTGGATGGGTTATATCAACAGCTGATTTATATATATATTGAGCTCAGCACTAGGTACCACATTTGTATATGTGTTGTCCTGGTGATTATAAGCTTGACTGTCTGGTGTTTTTCAGATCAAAGCCTGTTTATTGATGGTTGTACACGTAAATGGTTGACAATCAATACTAGTGACAATAAGTGAGATGTCGTTAATTGTGTGGCTAATTACAGGAAAAAGCCACACAAATACAGCCTTTAATAGCGGCAAAATACAACTCACTCCATTTCTACAGGGGACATTCAAGTTTGACAGTCAGTACCGATGCACTGTAAGGCTGTCCTTTTAAACAGTCACCCCACACAAGTGTTCCTATGATAATAGTGTCTGCTGTTCCTTAATTGGTATGTAGTGAAAGGATTTTATTTATTTCATGAACATTTAATCTAATTTTGTCATCATCAAAAACATGCTCACTTCTAAACATCAATGAACTGCTGTATTTACAGCATTCATTCATGCAACACCTGAAATGTTTTAATTTATAGAGGATTAATTGTGTATAAAATCATCCACATATTATATTTTCTAATTTCAATATATTGACTATATAATGCAGTCTTCTAACATGTCTAATTTCCTGCTCAGAACATTGAAATCCTAGTGTAGACAGGTCTTAGTAATTAGCAATCATATTGTGACATCCTCATCGATTATTGACGTTTCTTTCAATGAGTAATCACAGACTAACACACATTGATTGGTAGGTTGTAGAGTGCAAATATTGGGTTTTAGATTTAACAATAATCAAAGATCTTATATTGTCACTACTGCTAGCAGTAAATAGAAATTCTACTTCCACAATCATGTACCAGGGTAAGGGTCACCAAAATCATCAACAATTGGGTAGGAGACCATCAACAGTCAGTTATCTGATGTTTTCCACACCAACCTGTAGGCGCTGTCATAACATATTGTAAAACCGTATACAAATGTATTGCAATACACAGACAGTTGTGATTATCTCCCTTTACTTATACTATAATATAGTAGGTTATTGTTATTTTTACATATGTTTGTCGCTATAATAGCTCTCAAGAGATAATGTTCCTTGTTTTCCTGTATGCGACGTTAAATAAAGTATCTTGTATCTTGTATTGTATTGCAAAACAGATATGAAATATTAGTCAGCCTGTCACACAGGATGACAACAAAAACGGCAGTCGTTCTACAACACATTTATCTCAATAACACCAACCAAACACAAAAAAACATTGTCTCCTTTTGATTCATTTCTAGCATACTAAACATGTCATGATAATTAAATATATACTGGCAGTCCTGTGCCCAACATAAGAAACCAAAATATGATCAATTGTTGAGAAGCACTCTTTCTCTGTTGAGAATTCTACTCTGTATTTAATATGCTTACTTTGATTAATGCAATACTATCTGTGGTATAAAGAGTACCTGTACATATGTTTGATATTAGTCTCACACTATCTGTGGTATAAAGAGTACCTGTATCTATGTTTGATATTAGTCTCACACTATCTGTGGTATAAAGAGTACCTGTATCTATGTTTGATATTAGTCTCACACTATCTGTGGTATAAAGAGTACCTGTACCTATGTTTGATATTAGTCTCATACTATCTGTGGTATAAAGAGTACCTGTACATATGTTTGATACTAGTCTCATTCTTCTGGAGAGGGACTCCCCTTTCTCACTTTCATTTTTGACTTCAGAAATTAGCAAAATCCCCTACATGTTGCTTTTTGCACAAATTTGTTGTTTTCACTGTATAGAACATCTTAAACTACAGCATTTTAAAATGATATTCATTGTTAGTTTTTCTCAGACATTTCAAATTTTGTACCATAGTTATTCCAAATGAAATTATTATTTGTTATCTACATAAAATGGAAAGAAATTGAGAGTATTGAAGATTCCCCATTTTTTGATCGAGTAATCATATTCTCCACAACACTTTGTAACAGAAATACATGTCAACACTTTCTTTGAGGAGAATAATAAAAATTATATACATTTTTTTTTATTTTTTTTTATCTGAACACTTTTTTGTTGAGAACAAAGATATTCTTCCTTTTAACAGAATTTTTTGTTGTTCCAGTGAATAGAATACTTGCTTTCCAAAAGCAAGGAATGATTTGGTATTAAACACAATGATCTGGCTCTGTTCAGGAACAACGTCTGTAAGGTTTTCTAGCTTTGTGTACTACTGTTGATTTAGCCTACTTATTGAAAGTAAAAAGTAAACCTTTTATATACGCGAATTCCTCTCTGTATCCTCCGTTATCTACAAAACAAGGTGGGTATCAGATCATCAATGTGAAATGTCGCTGTCCTGTGTGCCCTTGACTTACTGTTAACTGCTCCTCACTCTATCAAAGGATACTGAATCCTTGGCAAGTGATATTACAACTAAATACACAATATCTACAATTGTTAATATCTAATTGAATGATTAATGAATCTTGTTATTTATCTAAATTAGAAGTTGACCTCTAGTTAAATAGTTCATGTTTGCATTCAAAGATGTTATTAGGACTTATATAACTAAATACACATGTTCAAGGTGAATATTGATTGTCAAAAATGTGTTGAAGAGTTGGCAGTGTAGTACATTTACCCAAATATAGCACCTCCGATATATGTAAATGGTTTGATTCAATCTGGACTTGTTTTGATATTCAGCAAATATATATGTAACAATAGGGTACAGTAGGTTTGACTATGACGGAGAGACTCTGCCTTTGTGTGTTGGTAACACTGTAACAGAGGAATGTCCCAGACCACAGACAATACAGCCAGTCCTATTATACCACAGTCCTACACTCACACAGGGAACTGTTGTCCAGGAGTCAACACCAACATATATAACCTTTACACCTGTCATTATCAATTGGCAAATAGAAATAAAGATTTAGATATCAAGGTTTCAACACAACAGATGGCTGTCAAGCATACCAGTGATATATCTATATCATCTGATCCCTCTGTGTGACTGTAAGGGCTCTACAATCATTTAGTTTCTATGTTTGATTTGTAATGGGGATGTGATATTTCATACAAAGGAAAAAGTCTTGACCATTTATACCAGTGTTCTCTTCATACCACTAACTTTTACACCTAACAAGTTACTGCATATATTTCAGAAATTCAATATAAGGAACCCCGTATTACTGTCAAAAACTGCAACTTTGCACTTGAAATTGTTTATAGCTTTGATAATTCATTTCTTAAAAGAAAAAACACAATTTGCAGGTCTTTAAACAAAACCTAATCAACAACTGAGTTCTGAGTTTAAAATATCAGCGGGGCTACTGACCAGGAATCATCTGACTGAGCTACTTTGACAATGGAAGTGTCCTAGCCCAGCTGTGCTACATGTACCTGGACAATGGAAGTGTCCTAGCCCAGCTGTGCTACATGAACCTGAACAATGGAAGTGTCCTAGCCCAGCTGTGCTACATGTACCTGGACAATGGAAGTGTCCTAGCCCAGCTGTGCTACATGAACTGGGACAATGGAAGTGTCCTAGCCCAACTGTGCTACATGTACCTGGACAATGGAAGTGTCCTAGCCCAGCTGTGATCCATGTACTGGGACAATGGAAGTGTCCTAGTCCAGCTGTGCTACATGTACCTGGACAATGGAGGTGTCATAGCCCAGCTGTGCTACATGTACTGGGAAAATGGAAGTGTCCTAGCCCAGCTGTGCTATATGTTCCTGGACAATGGAAGTATCCTAGCCCAACTGTGATACATGTACCTGGACAATGGAAGTGTCCAAGCCCAACTGTGCTACATGTACTGGGATAATGGAAGTGTCCTAGCCCAGCTGTGCTATATGTACCTGGACAATGGAAGTATCCTAGCCCAACTGTGATACATGTACCTGGACAATGGAAGTGTCCCAGCCCAGCTGTGATACATGTACCTGGACAATGGAAGTGTCCTAGCCGAACTGTGCTACATGTACTGTGATAATGGAAGTGTCCTAGCCCAGCTGTGCTACATGTACCGGGACAATGGAAGTATCCTAGCCCAACTGTGATACATGTACCTGGACAATGGAAGTGGCCTAGCCCAGCTGTGATACATGTTCCTGGACAATGGAAGTGTCCAAGCCCAACTGTGCTACATGTACTGGGATAATGGAAGTGTCCTAGCCCAGCTGTGCTATATATACCTGGACAATGGAAGTATCCTAGCCCAACTGTGATACATGTACCTGGACAATGGAAGTGTCCTAGCCGAACTGTGCTACATGTACTGTGATAATGGAAGTGTCCTAGCCCAGCTGTGCTACATGCACCTGGACAATGGAAGTGTCCTAGCCCAGCTGTGCTCCATGTACCTGGACAATGGAAGTGTCCTAGCCAAGCTGTGCTACATGTACCTGGACAATGGAAGTGTCCGAGCCCAGCTGTGATACATGTACTGGGACAATGGAAGTGTCCTAGCCCAGCTGTGATAAATGTACTGGGACAATGGAAGTGTCCTAGTCCAGCTG